TGACTCTTCTTCCTCTGCTGCTCTAAGTAAATAGATACCAGTTGCTGTTCCTGGGATGGCTATGTGCAAGCTTTAAGACCCCAGACACTACTCAACCAACTAGATGTTAGAAAAGAAGTGCAAAAAATCTTAATAGATCATTTAACTGGGATGCTTCATAAAATCATGACCCTAAGCCTCCATAAAATATACAAAGATTTAGAGTTACAAAACCAAAAGGGAAGAACACGGTCAGCATTTCTCAAGCTGGGGGAACTGAAGAAAAAATTCAAGCCTCGACTTTCGTTATTGAAAGATTCACTGGGCAAATTATTGAATGCTGCAGAATGCATCAAGACAAGATGGAAAGAATACACAGAGTCACTGTACCAAAAGGAAATGGTTAATGTTCAACCATTTCAAGAGATACCATATGAACAAGACCCAATGATACTCAGGGAGAAAGTCCAAAGTGCATTGAAAGAAGTGGCAAAGAACAAGGCACCAGGAATTGATGGAATAAAAATTGAAATCTTTCAAGAAAGTGAGGCAGCACAAGAGGCACTCACTCATCTCTGCCAAGAAATTTGGAAGACAACTGTCTGGCTGACTGATTGGAAGAGATCAATGTTTATGCCCATTCCAAAGAGAGGTGACCCAACAGAATGCGGAAATCATCGGACAATCTCTTTGATATGTCAAGCGAGTAAAGTTTTACTAAAGGTAATACAGAAACGGCTACAATCATACATTGACAGAGAACTTCCAGAGGTTCAAGCTGGATTCAGAAGAAGCCGTGAAATGAGAGATATCCTTGCTGATGTCCGATGGATCTTGGCAGAAAGCAGAGAATATCAGAAGGATGTTTACCTGTGCTTTATTGACTACGCAAAGGCTTTCGATTGTGTAGATCATGACAAGCTATGGACAACATTGAGAAGTATGAGTATTCCAGAACACTTAATTGTACTTCTGAGAAATCTGTACCTAGACCAAGAAGCAGTTGTTAGAACAGAACATGGGAACACTGAATGTTTTAAAATTGGGAAAGGTGTGAGACAGGGTTGTATTCTTTCACCATACTTATTTAACCTGTATGCTGAGCAAATAATACGAGAAGCTGGGTTCTATGAAGAAAAACGTGGCATCAAGATTGGAGGAAGACTCATTAACAACCTGCGATATGCAGATGATACAACCTTGCTTGCTGAAAGTGAAGAGGACTTGAAACATTTACTTATGAAGATCAAAGAGCACAGCCTTCGATATGGATTGCATCTCAAAGTCAAGAAAACAAAAATCCTCACCACTGGACCAATAAACAACATTCTTATCAATGGAGAAGAGATTGAAGTTGTCAAGGACTTCATTCTTCTTGGATCAACTATCAACACTCGCGAAAGTAGCAGTCAAGAGATCAGACGACGTATTGCACTGGGCAAATCTGCTGCACAGGAACTTTTTAAAGTATTGGAGAGCAGAGATGTTACCTTGAGGACTAAGGTGTGCCTGACCCAGGCCAGGGTGTTTTCAATAGCCTCATAGGGATGCAAAAGCTGGACAGTGAATAAGGAAGATCGTAGAAGAATTGATGCCTTTGAGTTGTGGTGTTGGAGGAGAATACTGAAAGTGCCATGGACTGCCAAAAGAACCAATAGATCTGTTTTGGAAGAAGTGCAGCCAGAGCGCTCCTTGGAGGCCAGGATGGCTAAGCTTCGTCTCTCATACTTTGGACATATTGTCCAGAGGAAACAGTCACTGGAGAAGGATGTCATGCTGGGTAAAATTGAGGGTCAGAGAAAAGTGGAAGACCCCTAACGAGATGGATTGGCCAGGTGGCATCATTGATGGCACCAAGTGTGTCAGCGGTAGTGAAGTTGGCCCAGGATCGGACATTGTTTCGTTCTGCTGTGCCTGGGGTCGCTATGAGTCGGTTCCGACTTGATGGCACTTGACAACAACAACAACAACAAGCCTCCAAACCAAGAAGCCAAATCTCATCAAGTATTTGCCTGTCCAGAAGGAGCCTCAGAAGCTGCTCTTATTGTCTTTTTCTTTTTGCAAAATTATGCATCACACGATAATTACCGATGGGACTTTTTACAGGTGTGCAACTTACTGACATCATTAACTGGCTGTGCAACTGCTACCCATAATCCATACAAATGTTTCATCACCACAAACAAAAAATCACGCTCAATAAGCAAAAATATCCTCTTCCCACATTTCTTTTGCCCATTTGTTGTTATTGTGTGTGTCACCAAGTTGATTCTGACTCTTATCAACCCTGTATAGGATTTCTAAGGAGGGACTGACCTCGTGGCCAGCAGTCCCGTACTTAACTTACAGTGCCACACTGGTCTTTATGAATATGCCTGTTCTTGTCTTTTTATAGATTGTTGTCGTTAAGCACTGTCAAGTTGGTTCTGACTCAAGAGTGATGCTGTGTAGGGGTATCTGAGGCTGTAAATCTTTCTCCTGAGGAGCGGCTGATGGGCTCAAACTGCCAACCTTGTGGTTTGCAGTCCAGTGTTTATGTACAGAATCACTGCATTCTCCTCTTTTTATAGAAGTGAGGTCATATAATATTTGTCCTTTTGTGATTGACAAGCATTTTTTAAAATGTCCAATTTCATGCAAAGAATATGTTAATTACAAAATGGGCTCCATCTGTTAGTGAAACTGTCTTTAAGTCCTCCAGAGCAGTTTCTATCTGCAGAACTACTTTTCAGAGATTTACTTAATTTTTCAAATGAATATTCAAGTTATCAAAGTTAAAAATACATAGTTGATGATGCTCTTTATCCAACATGCTAGTTTTATTTTTAATGCCAGAAATGAAAACCTTTCCTCTGATTCTGATTATTACCTTAGTAAATGCCATGCCTTTAAGCACAGCTTATAAAAGTTCATATCCTATTTATAAGTCCAGCTAGGATTATCAAATAAACTACAGAATGTTGAATTAAATTTGAATTATCAGGCATTCAAATTTAACTAGCGGTCTATATTTTTATTTGCTAAATCTGGCAACTTTATACAATTTATTTTCAGGGGATTTTGTCTCACGTATAAACATTTTTAAACTTTATAAAATGAAAATTTAATATTTTTAAAGTCCTTTAATTGTCTAAACTAGTCGGGGGGAATAAACCAAAAACCCCTTTTGGGCTATGAAATAATTATTCTAAGTCTAATAAATTAGATTTATATAAATACAAGTAACCCAAGGTTTTTGCAATGTTCCAGAACTGTATGTAAACTTAGAAAAAATTTAATTTTAAAATCACAAATCTAAATCAATTCCTGAATGAATGCACATTGTATATGGATTTATAGGGTTGTCAATTTAACAAGTCAAGATCTTTTATATGCTTCAAGTTCATAAAATACCAACTACGCACAGACTCCTTGAAACACAAAAAGTTTATATCAAGGCTCTCAGTCTCTTCAACATTTCTATACTCAGTTCTAGATCTTCCTGCAGTTAGAAGATAAACATTTACCAAAGAAGACAATTCCAACCCAGCTAATCAGATCTGCTTTTTACTAGAGATGTAAGCAGGCATAAGTTTTAGTCAGTTTGCAAACATCAGGGTAATGCATCTCACCATGAATTCAGGAACCATGGTATTTGGGGCAATTTCCTTAAAGTACCTAGAGTGGTTAGCCAGAGAAGTGGAACAGGATGTGGACTGAATATATTTGTTGTTGTTAAGAGCCGTCAAGTTGGTTCCAACTCATAAAGACCCTGTATAGCGTTTCCAAGGAATGGCTGGTGAGTTTGAACCACCAACATTGCAGTTCAAACCAACCTTGTGGCCCACAGTGACATCAATATTGCACTTTTCCCTGTTTGTGGTGGCTATACAACTCCATCACTCCAAGAGGAGGTGGTCACATTCAAGTAGTGGCATCAACATATTCCTGTTACCTAACTTTACACACATATGCATAAAAACCAGTATAGCACTGTAGGATAAGTAAGGGACTGCTGACCATAAGGTCAGCAGTTCAAATCCACCAGTCCCTCCTTAGTAACCCTATACAGTTGCTGCTGACTTGACAGCATACACAATTCTCCTTGCCAAAGTCTTCAAATCTCACTTGGATTTATGTTTGCATTTTCCATTTCTGATCTTCACATCTTCCTGCCCAAATCTCTAAAAGTTACTTTACTTGGGCTGAAATTTTACAGCTCATACAAACATTTCCTTTCTCAGGACCACACAACTGACACAAATGTTAAGATAATATCAGGTTAAATCATGGAGACTTTTGTTGTTATTGTTGTTAAGTGCCGTTAAGTAGGTTCTGACTTGTAGTGACCCTGTATAGAGTTTCCAAGGAGGAACTGGTGAGTTTGAATTATCGACCTTGGGGTTCACAGTCCAGTGCTGATCCTACAGCTGTCCTCAGAGTCCAAGGGCATTTTACTATTCTAGTGAACCAGTAATTGCTCTCCCTGGCATCACATTTGTATGAAATCATGTACACTAAGACTGCCTTAAAAATTATGTAATTCTAACTAGACTTGACCTTAATTTACACACACATCAGGGTGCTTAGAGAGTTGTTGCCTGGGTGTGTCCAGGGACAGCTGGCCTCCAAATCCAAATGACGGCAGACAGCCCAGCTGAATTTTCCAAGGCAGCAGGATTCCACTTCCCCCGTCCTTCCTGACCCCCAACAGAAGACTCAATTACCCCAGATGGTACACCAGACCACTTCCGAGTTCGATTATCAGGAAAGTCACACGGCAGACAGCCACAGAAAAGATCATCAGATAGGGTATCAGAAGTGGGACTTGAGGAACTTTGCAGAAGAGGTGTCTAAATTAGGCAATTTCTTCACCAGGCTTATCAAAACAGGGGCTTCTCAAAGGCTAGTCCATTTCCTTGGGGAATGAAACTCATGATCTTCAGTTCCTCAGAGAAGTGAAAGTAGTAGCCAGGAATCCAGTAATTCCTGTTATCTGCAGTCTTTATAAGTCAGCAGAGTCAAGGAGGTGGCCGGCGGGGATCCTGACACTCCAAACACTGCTGTCTTCTCAGTGAGTCCTGAATCTGAGAAGAGTCAGGATGTCTCCATGGCTGCCTCCCCTCCTTCTCCTCCTTTTCACCATGCATGGTGCCCTGGCCCTGAGGATCTGCTCCTTCAATGTGAGGTCATTCGGGGAAGCCAAAAAGGAAAACCAGAACACCATGGATGTCATTGTGAAGGTGAGCACCCTTTCCTGAATTTGTTTTTTTCTTCTTCTTTCTTTCTTGCACTCTTTACTGCTTTCAGACTTTCAGAGATTCAGGAGACACTGAGTGAAAATCCGCTTTAAGAGGTGAAGGTAGCGGCTGGCATGAAATTTTAATACAATAACAACAGCAGCTTTTACAATAATGACAATTTCATCTTGCTCTGCCTCAGTGTCATCATCTGTAGACTGGTGATAATTGCAGTCTCTTCTCCAAAGCACTATGACAAATGCCCACCCACTACCCTCAAGTTGATTCGAACTCATAGTGACCCTATAGGTCAGATTAGAACTGCCCTATAGTGTTTCCAAGGCTGTAAATCCTTATGGGAGCAGAATGACACATGTTTCTCCCATGGAGTGCCTGGTAGGTTCAAACTGCCAATCTTCTGATTAGCAGTCAAGAGCTTTAACCACTGCCTCTCCAGGCTCCTTTGTGAAAAATACAGTAGTTGATAAATGCAAAGCTCTTAAAACAGTGTATGGCTCACAGTAAGTCCCAGGTGGTTGTTAGGGGCTGTTGAGGCATTTTCAACTTATAGCGACCCTATGTACAACCAAACAAAACACTGCCTGATCGTACACCAGCCTCACAATTGTTATGTTTGAGCCTACAACAGCAGCCACTATGTCAGGCCATCTTTTTGCTGATCTTCTACTTTACCAAGCATGATATCCTTCTCCAGGCAGTGATCCCTCCTGATAACATGTTTGTAATACATTTGCATTGTAAAAAGATCATTGTCCTCCCATCTAAGGAGCACTGTGGCTGTATTTCTTTCAAGACAGAGTTGTTTGTTCCGTCAGTCTATGGAACTTTCAATACTCATCAACATCATAATTCAAAAGCATGGATTCTTCTTTGGCAAGGGTTGGCTATTCTCATTCTTATTACCATTTATTGAACACATGTGTCTGGTACTTTAAATACATGATTTCATGTCATCATCCTCATGAAGGAGGATTATCATCCCTCATGTAAAGAATGATGAACCATGAAAGGTTAAGTAACATTGTTCTGCTGGTGGGTGGCGGAGCAGGGACAACAGCCCAGCCTGGGCTTTTAAATCATCAGTGCAACCCAGCCTCTCTTCCTTCCTTTCTTCCTTCTTTCTTTTCGGTTTATGTTTTCCATCTTCCTTCATCTTCCCTTCTGCCCAACTGTCAGTTCTCATTGCTCACTCCACTTAACTAATGTTCTCCTTGGGAGTGATATGGCCAATATCTCTGTTCACTTTGGAGTCAGGGGACAGGCACCTTTATTTTTGATGTTGGTAACTAAAAACTTTCCTGGGACTCTGACAGGGTGGTTATTGCTTTAGAAAGCAACAGAGGCTGGGTTTTAACAGCAGCCCTGGTTCACATCTCATATGCCAGCTGTGTGAGTTTGGGAAGTTACTCACCTCTCTGAGCTTCGAATTCCTTTTAGCAGAATGGGGCTCATACTACCTGTAGCATCTGTTGGCCAAGAGAATTCAAGAGGTGTAAGGCAGAGTCCCATAAGGCAGGTGTTAGTAAATGAGAGTCATGATTATTTTTATTATTAGGCAAGGTAGATTAGAGTTAGGACTGTCATGCGCTGTGCTTAGTTGGATGAATCCTCTCAGAGCTAATTGGCCCTACCCTTTGGACTGTGCCCAAGACCTCCTAAATGTGATTGCTTAGCTATGACAGTCATGCCAAGCCTGTGGGAACTGTGGCTCCGTGTGTCAACAGAGAACTCCGACAGGCACATTTTTTTCCCTCCATCCTCACATATGGCCCTATGGAGCCTGCTACTTATTGATTTCCCATTGCTTTCCTTACCTGTTCAACCTGAGAGAGGCTACCTTAAACACTGTCTCTGCTAAATTCAGCATCACAGACTCTTTCATGGTGGAAACCGACACTTGGCACCTTCCCTGAGCTTCTGAGCCCTGAAAGGTTGGCAAATGAACAACAGCCAATCACAGCTAATCTGAAGCATGTCAGAAGATTTTCCCAAGGCTCAAAAACTACCTGTAAACAGAGACCATCCCAAAATACTGTGAGAGTCACCTGACAACACTGACAGCTGAACCAAAATCTCAAGGATTTATGGTAGTAATATGTACAGGGTCCATTTGCTGAGTTTACTGTAGACCATGTATTTTGTATCTTCTATCCTATTGAATGCTGTGATAGAGACCCTCGTGGTACAAATGGTTAAAGTTCCTAACCAAAAGGTTTGAGGCTTGAGTTTACTCACCTCAGAAGAAAGGCCATGATCTACTTCAAAAAAAAAAAAATTAACCTTTGAAAATCCTAGGGAGCACAATTCTACTCTGATACACCTGGAGTAGCCATGAGCTGAACTCACTCAATGGCAATGCTACTGGTTTCATAGTAGAACGTAGGTGGCATTGCCCTGTTTTTTATGAGAGAACTGAGGCTCAGAGAGCTAGAGTGATTTATTCAGGTTTCCATAGCTAGTAAGGGGAAGAGGTGAAATCAGACCCAACCACATAATCCCGCTGAATAAGTGGAGATGCCTTTTGCACACTGAATTACTTCTTCAGAAGAGAGTTCAGTACCACCTTGTCATTGTCATGTTGCCTTCATTGAGGAGGGAGAAGAACAAGGAAGGCCAGCCTTCTCCATTTGGGTTTGCCAGTCCGCATTAGTTCTACAGATGCCAAACCTTACCTGGGTGAGTCTCCTATCTGTTCTTCAGTTTGGGTCGGTTAAAGAACAGAACTTGTTCATGTAACACATACTCACTGAAGGTCCACCGTGTGACAGATGTAATCCCAGGCACTGTGATGCAATGTAGGCATGAGAGACAGTATCTTCCATCTTCATAGAGTTTATAGCAAATGATCATTATCATTCCAAGGCGGTTCACTGTGGGCTGGGCATTTAACATGCACTATCAACCTCAGAAACCCTGTTAAGGGTCGCTATGAGTCGGAACCGACTCCATGACACATAACAACAACAACATCTAAATTCAGTCTCACATCCTCTTAGATTATCATGCCCATTTTGCAGATAGGGCAAGTGGAGCTCAGAAAAGTGAAATAATGTTGCCCAAGGTCATGGAGTACAGGGTCAAGCTAGTATTGGAAGTACCAGGTGTGCCCAACACCTGACCTGGGCTCTTCTGCACCATGCTGCACTGCTCTCTGTTTATAGGCAGAAAAAGGATTCATGCATGAGCTTCCCTTTGCCCAGATATTTTCAAAATCATCCCTTCTGCTCTTCCCTCTCATGACTCCTCCTGCCCCAGGATTCCCTGGCCATGCATAGTCACTTAAACTCATACCCAAACAGTCAGACATTTGGCTTTATTGGAGAAATCTTGTGGGATTTCAGGTCTTGGTGCTGGGAGAGTCTCAGTTGTGGGGGGTGGGGAAGCCTCATCCTTAGCTCTCCACTTACTAAGATGGAGCCCCCAGAAATGTATTTTTCCTGGTACGCTGGCCTTAAATTGCATGGCAGGGAAAGAGCATGCCTAAAATAGATTTGAAAACTGAACAGGGACTGTCTAATAACAGAGAAGGAAATGCTCACAGCATAATGTTAGGTTAAAAATAAAAAAGGCAGAACCAAAAATGAATGATCAATATGGCCACGGCTTGCTGAGCACCTGTTCTGTGCCAGAAACCAGGCTGGGAGCTTTCTGTCTGTCATGGTCTTTAATTCCAAGATGGCCCCATAAGCAAGGAGCTGTGAATTGTTCCAGTTCACAGATAAGGAAGATGGGGGTCTCCAGATGCTTAAGCCACTTACTAAAGGTCATGCAACTGATGAGTGACACAGTCAACACACAAACCCTAGACCACTTGATTCAGAGTCCATAGTATGGTGCCAATTTTGTGTACTTTTGTACATATACATACCTAAGTATAGAAACCATAGAAAAGTGTCTGGGTGGTGGCATTATACATCATCAGGTGATTTTAATAGTCTGTTCAGTATTTCCAATTTTTCTATAAAAAGCAATACTATTTTTTTAGTTTGAAAATTAAAGTCTACTTATTTGTAAAGGGATGGAATTGAACATTTATTTCCATTTATCTTACAATATTAAAACCAGATTTAAGTATGGAAGATATCTGTGTTTCGGGAACTTGGCTCAGATGGTTTAGTATGATTCTCCTTTCTTACCTCCCTCCCTGTTTTCTTTCACTCATGACAGAATAAAATTGTGAATAAAGTAACGCCTAGCACGTTGTATGAAACATAACAGGCTCTTGATAAAAATGTGTCAGATGATGATCCAGTGTATTGATGGGTGGATGGATGGATGGATGGTTGGGGAGGTGCATGGACTAACCAACTGACGTCATAGTTCCTGTTGCTAGGAGAACTTTGGTAGTGTGATCTTGTTCATTGATTTTAGTCAACAGGAAATATTCCTGGATTTCCTGAGGCAAGTGGAAATCACTAACTTCTGGAGATGTGGAACTCAGGAATGTTTGCTATGCAAGGAAAGGGGTTGTTGGATTGTAAACAGGAAATCTAGGGTCTTAACCCCTCCACTCAGGAAAGGGAATCTGGACCCATCAGCATACTTAAAAAAGGCCCTTGGTCTTTGAGGAGGGGCAGTCTGAGGATCTGCTGATTTCCTTGATTGTCGAGTGTAGTAATCAAGAAGGAGTTCTGTAGCTATATAACCTGAAGTTTTAAAAATTTGGATCTCGTTTTTGCTTTTTTGGAAAAAGTTTACACAGAAACTTAGATTCCCATTTGAGATTTTCTACACAAATGGTTCAGTGACATTAGCTCCATTTTCCCCAAAGTGCCACCATTCTCTTTAACTGTGTTCTGGTTTTTCCACTTCTAGTACTCTAGTTTCCTGACCCCCTTATCTTATAATCTCTGCCTTAGAGCTATGGTTGACCTTTTAGTTTCACTTAGATAGTTTTTTTGTGGAGCACCATACTCAAAGATAGTATCTTTGATTTTGTGAGCCAACCTAGTATTTTGCTAAAAGATGACTTCAGGGCTCAAAGCTAATGACTATCTCAGGGTGGTAGTCTCAGGGAGTCCTGTAGTGTCAACTGATCCAGTAAATCTGAAGTTCTAAAGAATTTTGCCCTCAGTCTCAGCATCAATCTATTGTGGCCCTCATCAGATTATTTAGTTGTGGTAGCTGGGTACCATCTAGTTCTTCTGGTTTCAAGGTACACGAAGCGACTCATACATTTACAGACTAGTTTCTACTTTGTTTCCCTTCTTTCTCTTTTGCTTCTGAGTAGAGACCGCTAACTGTACTTTAGACGACTGGACTGCTTTAGATAATTTGATTGTGAATCCTAATCTCAGCATCCAACTGATGTTCAAATTACTTAACACCACTAAGTCTCAGTGTTCCCAATAATGCAATGGGATAAAAAGAGGACTCAAATTTCAGGGCTATTGTGAGAATTTAATGAGTAGAGATAATGTTGTTGTTAAGTGCCATTGAGTCAGTTCCGACTCATACAAGGATAGAGTTTCTGCTGACAAACCTGTATAGGGTTTCCAAGGAGGAGCTGGTGGGTTTGAACTACCGAATTTGTAGTTAACAGTCTAGTGCTTCTTAACCTGTGGCATCACACCAGGACTCCATGAGTAGATAATAAGAATAGCAAGTGTTAACACCTCACTATGTCCCAGGTAAACTATTACTCACTTTACATAAGACAACTCATTGAATTCATGCTGAGCACTTAGAATTATGTCTAATATGTCTTAATACTACATTCTTCATCAAGTAGTTTTCTTTTCTTTTTGTAATAACACTAATTTTTTTTAATTATAAAGGTAATTGTACTCAATATGAACTATTTTGAAAATATAGTAGCATATAAAGAAGAAAAAAAACACCCGTTATCCTGTCACTCAAAGGTAACAATTGCTGGCATTTGGGTGAATTCTACCGGCATATTTTCTATACAAAAATCTGCATCTATCTCGCAACACAGAAACTATATATCAGTTTTACATCCTGTTTTTCTATTAGACATATTTTCCATGTTAATTTAAAAAAAAAAAGAACAACAAAAAAACATAACTTATAATTCTACACACTGCCCCATCTTGTGTTTGAAACATACTTCATTAACACTTCCTTATTTGGGAATGCTAAGGTTATTTCCAAATAAGAAAGTGTTAATAAAGTATGTTTCAAACACAAGATAGGACATCGTGTAGAATTATAATTTATGTGTTTTATTGCTATATTTTTTTATTTGGGCATGCTAAGGCTATTTCCAGAGTCCTGGTATGGCTCTGTGGGTGCATGCGCCAGACTGCAAAACCCTTTGAACTGCAAGGTTGGCAGTTCAAGCTCACCAGCTGCTCCTCAGAAACCCTATACAGTGTCGCTGTGAGTTGGAACCAACTTGACAGCACTTAAAAACAACAGCAAAGTTTATTTCCAATTTTTTTTGCTGCAATAAACCTTCCTATTTGATTTGTACAAATAATAATGATTTATTGGGAGATTTCGTTAAGTGGATACTGTCCTGAGTATATCCTTCATCCTTTAGCAACCAAACCCAACCCAGTGTCATCAAGATGATCCCTTGTCATAGAGACCCTACGAACAGAGTAGAACTGCCCCATAGGGTTTCCAAGGTGATGATCTTTATGGAAACTGACTGCCATATCTTTCTCCTGAGGAACAACCTTTTAACTACTATACCACTAGGGCTCCTTGAATGACCACCATCATCATCCTTCATTTATAGATGAGGAAACTGAGGCACAGAGCAGTAGTGGGCAATTCCTTTCAAAAGAAGGCATGCTTCATCGTAGTACGACTGCGTCAAAGGATATATATGTATACTTGTTGTTGTTGTTAAATGCCATCAAGTCAGTTCCGATTCATAGTGACCCTATAAAGGGTTTCTGAGGTGTGGCTGGTGGATTTGAACTGCTGACCTTGTGGTTCAAACTGACATTGCAGTCAAGTGCTGACCGTATAGCAGCATACCAGAAATCCAGGGCTGATTCTACAGTGCCACACCAAGACTTTCTATTTATTTGTCCTCAATAATAACAATGGACTTCTGGTGTGGCACTGTAGGATCAGCATTGCACTGCAAACCAAAAGGTTGAAGTTCAAGTCCACAAGTTGCTCCTCAGAAACCCTATACAAGGTGGCTATAGTTGGTACTAACTCAATGGCACTTAACAACAACAATAATAATCATACCTCTTTATTTCTGCAGTATCCAACTTGGGATCGAGCTTTCACTTATTAAGTTCTTAATAAACGCTTATATCTATTATTATTATTGTAGTTTTCAAGCAAAGATAAATGATAGAATGCAGGGGGTGGGGTTGTCATGATTATGGTCTCTGTACTTACATTGTGTAGGCTCAAATTCCACTTTGACCACTTTGTAACTGGGTGACTTTGAGCCATTTACATAGCTTTCTTTGAGTCTCAGCTTTCTCCTCATTAAAATGGACATAATAGAGCACCTACCTCCTGAAGTACCCAATGTGACACCTACAACATAGTAAGGAAATTCTCTCTCTGCAGGTCATCCAACGCTGTGACATCATTCTCCTGATGGAAATCAAGGACAGTAACAATATGATCTGTCCCATGCTGATGGAGAAGCTAAACGGGTAAAGATAAGGAGTTGGGGGGGAGGGTGTTGGGAAGAGCAGGTGTCCAGGCTCTGTACAGGTTCAAGGTCAGTTGTAAGGGCACCTAAAAAGCCTGAGAAAACTGAAATTTGCACTTATCCTGACCACCAGGTCACAGGGCCAGAGCTGCTGGTGCTCCCAACTCTATTAGCCAGGGTCTTCAGGATGTTCAGTCTTATGGTTTTAACATGATAAAGCAAAAGAAGGTAAAGAGAAGAGGAGACAGAAAGAGATATGAAAGAAGCAGACAAGAGGTTGGGCTTTGAAGTAAGTACTCGTATAAAGCAAAGATCGAATGCTAACAATAGAAAATAGATTCAATAAAATTATGTACCTGGAAAATTATGAAGCTGTTAGAAATCATACTCAGTTGAAAGGCAAATATTTTGTTACATATATGAAGGGGGCTTCAAAAAGTTGGGGAAAATGGGATTAAAAGATAATGCAGTTTTCCCACAAACTTTTTGAAGCCCTTTCATATATTTTTTACCACAATAAAAAAATTGCTTCCTATAAAAAAAGTTAGAGCTATAACTAGAATCCAGCATGTAACTAGGCCAGGACATATTTAGTGACAAGACCAAGGTCAGAATTGTAGCACATTTCTGGGATCACACCATGCTAGACATGAATAAGGTTGTACTAGGGTTTACACAGCAGTCCTGGTGTGGCACTGTGGGCTAATGTGTCAGACTGCAAAGTCATTTGAATTGCAAGGTCGGTGGTTCAAGCTCACCAGCTACTCCTTGGAAACCCTATACAGGGTCGCTATGGGTCAGAACCAATTCAAAGGCTCTTAACAACAACAAGTGTTTGCATGGAGTAGAAACTGTGGGTTAATGCACTGGACTGCAAGGTTGGTTTGAACTGGAAGGCTGGTGGTTCAAGCTAACTAGCCACTCTTCGGAAACCCTATACAGGATCACTGTAAGTCAGAACTGACTCTACAGCACTTAACAATACTAGTGTTTGCACAGGACTCCTGATGTGTGCTGGGGGTGCTGTAAGATAAGCATTGGACTATGAACCCAGTTGCTCCTGAAAACCCTTCACAGTGTCACTGAGTGGGAATGGACTAGACAACACTTAATAGCAACAATAACAGTGTTTGTATACGGAGACTGGTGGTACACTGGTTAAATTCTCAGCTGCTAAGGCAAGGAGCTCTGGTAGCATAGTGGTTATGAATCGGGCTGCTAACCTCAAGTTCAGCAGTTCGAAATTACCAGCTTTTCTGCCGGAGAAGATTTGCAGCTCACAAACGCTCCAAGGTACTTAACAACAAACAACAAGGAAGGGTAAGTTCCGCTGTGCCTTCTAGGGTTGCTATGAGTCGGAATTGGCTCCACAACAACCAGCTGGGTTTGTATGAGCACAGAAAAGACTGGAAGGATGCACTCCAAACTCATTAATAGTTATTACTTCTAGGAGCATGAGAGGCAAGGAAAAACCACTGAAAAAATGGGGAACATTTGCGTTGTATTTACTTCTGTGTGATTTATTTTTAATGTTTTATTATGAATTATATGATACTTTACATGGGACAACATTAGCTTTACATTCATCCTATCGTATTATCATTTCATTGCCATCTTTACAATCCCCTCCACGCATCATCAACCAACCAAAGGGTATACCTTCCAAGCCTGTCCTCCGGTTGATTGTCAGCACACAGCCCCTCTCCTTCTCTGGGTCTAAAGTCCCCAGCTGCTCCATCTCTCTATGTCTCTGCCTCCATCTCTGGCATCACCGTTTCTCAGGGTAGGGTCCCGCATTCAGCTTTTCTCCCTTGATGGTCCCAGGGACCTCAGCTCCTGGACTACAAAGTCAGTTACTCCACTCTTTTAGATACAAAACATCTACCTTTACATTTCCAACCCTTGCAGTCAGTCCTGATAACATTATTCACTATTGTATCACAAGAGGTACTATCTATATCTCCTTTCATCAGTCCTGCCCAGACAGATTGGGTACTACTCATTGGAGATTCTACCTTCCTCTCAGCCCTCTGGATCTAGATTCCTTCTTGAAAGCTTGTAAACCAGTCAATTCTTGCCTTTGTATTCCCTCCCCCGCCGCCATTTTGGGTAGCCAAAGTCCAAGTTTCCCATCCCTGTCTACTCTGTGTATGGAGTGGGTGTGAATGATCCTCACTGGAAAAGTTTGTTCCCTCTTTTGAGCACTGCATCCATAGTTGCAGGTCAAATTCATCAAATTGTATCAGATTACTCTCTTTTTTTCCCTCTTCTTTTTTCTTCTTCTAGTTGAGCTCTGATCATCCAGTCATTGAAGCCAGGTCAAGTGGGTATTATCTGCAAGTGTGGGTGTTCTTATGTCTTCTGTGTGATTTAATGTGTTATAAAATGACAGAATTAATTTCATAATTTAAAAATCAATAAAAACAAAAAAGCAATGCCCTCAAATAGTTTTAAATGACACTGATTGATAATTATGATTTATAGTCTCTCTCAAAGATTGACCAACAGACCCACCCAGATGAAAATCAGCTAGGATAGTCATTTAAACATACATACCCATGACCCCAGATCTACTGAATGTTAACATCTGAGAAGGGAATCAGTATTTTAACAATATTGCAGGGTGGTTCTGAGACACACTAGTTTTTTAGAACAAGTACAGTGGTTTTTTTGTGTTTTTTTTTTTGTAGGTACCTTATAAGATTAAGCAGCAAGCTAGGGTACACAATTCTATGTACCATGTAGCTAAATTATGTTAAAAATACATGTAAAAATTTCAAAGAAATCACAGCAAATTGTTCCCAGTGGCTATCTCATGGTGAAAATATACAAAGGATTTAAATGTAATTTTTCTATGGATTTTCTGTATTTTTCAAGGCCTCCACAATGAGAATGTTATACCTCTATTTTTCTTACGAAATAACTTCAAACATACTTTAAATCACAGAGAATGGTATAACCACTAACCATGGATCCACCACCTAGAGTTAACAAACTGGTGTGGTGCCGTGGTATAATAAGCACTGGACCACAAGGTCAGTGGTTCAAACTCACCAGCAGCTCCTCAGACACCCTAGTTAGGGTGGCTACGAGTTGGAACTGACTCTACAGCACCTAATAGCAGCAACAACATTTGGCTTATTGTACATTGCTAAGTAGGAAAACTCACACTGCTTTTGAAAAATAAAGGGGCAGTCTAGACTCATTAGATTAGGGGAACAACAGTTGTAGACACTGTCCTTCATAAGAGAGGGTCTCTTGGGCTTGCCCCTACTATCTCTGGGCCTCAGTTTTCTCAGAATAAAGCAATGGTTCTCTGTTTTAGCCTGTTTCTGCATCTGATCTTTGTCTTTGAAAAAGAGAGGGTAGCCTGAGGGTTAGGAATCCACATTCTGCTCAGACCACCTGGATTTGGATCCTGACTTTGCCTTGACCCTGGACAAGTTACCAAGCCTCTTGATGCCTCATTGGCTCCATGTAATAGGGCTAAAGAAAGAGCCCCCTTCCTGGACTTAGCAAAATTAAACTATGCATACATGCATACAAGTGGTCTAACTGTGCCTGGTATGCAGCAGTGCTCACTAAGAGCTATTGTGGTTTGTTGCTGTTGTGAAGTGCCATCCAAGTCAGTTCTGATTCATTATGACCCTGTACAGCAGTTCAGTGCTTATCCGACAATGGTTTTTATTAGTAGTCAGAGAAATTTCAAATTGATAGTCATAGACACTATATTCTGCAGATATGCCTCCCTGGAACCATAGTGGGTTACGTGTTTGGCTGCTAACTGCAAGGTCAGCAGTTCAAATCCACCAGCCACTCCATAGGAGAAAGATGAGATTTTCTGTACCTGTAAAGATCTGCATTATTGGAAACTCTATACAGGGTCATCTTACACAGGGTGAGTTGGAATCAACTTGATGGTATGCAGCAGCAACCTCTAATCAGTTGTTGTTGTTAGGTGCCATCGAGTCAGTACTGATTCATAGAGACCCTATGTACAACAGAATGAAACACTGCCTGGACCAGTCTGGACCAACCTTACAACTGTTGCCACACTTGAGCCCATTGATGCTGCCACTTTGCCAATCCATCTTACTAAGGTTCTTCCTCGTTTTCTCTGACCCTCCACTGTACCAAACATGATATCCTTCTCCAGCGACTGGTCCCTCCTGACAATATGTCCGAAGTATGAGAGACAAAGTTTGGCCATCCTGGCCTCCAAGGAGCACTCAGGCTGCAATTCTTCCAACACAGATCTATTGGTTCTTTTGGCAGCACTTTCAATATTCTCCTCCAACACCATAACTCAAAAGCATCAATTCTTCTATGGTCTTCCTTATTCACTGTCCAGCTTTCACATGCATATGAGGTTATTGAAAATACCATGGCTTGGTTCAGGCACACCTTAGTCCTCAAGCTGATATCTTTGCTCTTCAATGCTTTAAAAAGGTCTTCCACAGCAGATTTACCCAATGCAATATGTCATTTGATTTCTTGACTGCTGCTTCCATGAGTGTTGATAGTTGATTCAAGAAGAATGAAGTCCTTAACAATTTCAATCTTTTCTCTGTTGGTAAGAATGTTGTTTATTGGTCCAGTGGTGAGAATTTTTGAGATGCAATCCATAAACTAATCAGTGGTTGCTATTAAATGTGTTGAACTTGGACTATTCTCTGTTTTTATAATAATACCATAGTCCTTGTGTGGCCCTGTGGGCTAATGCATCAGACTGAAAAGTCATTCGAACTGCAAGATCGGTGGTTCAAGCTCACCAACTGCTCCTTGGAAACCCTATACAGGGTCGCTATGGGTCGGAATCAACTTGACGGCACTTCACAACAACAACAAACCATACCTGAGAGACACCTCTGTCACTGATAACCTAACTTTGTGTCAGGCATCCTGTCCCTCAATTTACATAAACTAATTCATGTATTCTCTACAACAACCTTAAGAGGGAGGTAGTTTTACTGCTTTTCTTAAAGCTGAGTAAACTGAGGC